GCTCTCCATCGTAGTTCTTCAGGCAAATGATGCCTAGAGGTCATTATTACGAATTGGCTATCTCAGATTTTCAATGTCGCAATCACAGTAAAATTTGTGTGCTTTCTCTCAAACTTGGACTTTTATGCTCCAGGCAGATGACGTAAGCCGAGTGCAGCGCCACTAATTTGCATATTGCAATTTTACTCAGCTACTCTTAGTGGACAACATATGCAAATTTTGCACGGTTTGGCTTACTTTTGAAAGAGTTATCGCTATTTTTGTGATTTTTCCTTAATTTATGATAACCAGTGTATATTAAAATTATGTTTTACAACATGCTGGTAATTTATATCGTTAAAAAAATATGAAATTAAAAAATATTTAAATACTGCAAATAGTGATCAATTATAAGCAGTTACTAACTAAAGATAAAGAATACTTGTAAAATATATCATACATTTGTTAATGGAAGATATTTATTGATGGAAGGTGAGAAAATTCACAATTTTCTCTAATATAACTTGATCAGCTTGATTAAAAACTTAATCAACGATACTGGTTAAGTAGATAAAAGTAATTCAAATACACTGAATATTTATCAAAACTAATTAAAACTAAAACTCAAAAACTAATTAATTAAAGGAGCTATTCAATATGCGTATGTCATAATATCATATTAAAAATATCGCAATTTTAAAAAATATGTGGAAATCAATAGTGATAACTCTAAAAAAAGTTATAGAATCGTAGCAAATCGAACAACAAAAAATGATTACTCATAACGTGATTCGATATTCGCAAATCTTATTAGAGAATTAAAAAATATCGAAATTTTAAAAATCAAGGGGAAATTTATTGAAAAAATTGCTGTCAGGACCATCGAGATAAAACGAAGTTTTACGGTGAGATCAGCATAGTTATTCTTCGATTATAGATTTCTCATGGGCGCCATTTTTGGCAGCTTGATTTTGATAATTTGGGTAGCCATTTTCTGTGTAATAGTCACCCGTTCATGACTCTAGAGCTATAGCAGTAGCTTTGCATGTACTTTAAAGCTAATTGATGAATTCTTCAACTTTAGAAAGTTGCAGAGTCTTAACTTCAGATACTTAAAAATTTATATTTTATAGTTTTTCATTGTAGACAAGAAGCAAAAATTTTGTTTCTGTTTAATTCTTATGTAACTACATTTTACTATTTGGAAAAAAAATTTATTTTTGTTGTTGGATTACAAGACAATATTTATACACCTTTTTTAATTTTTTAATATTTAATTGAAAGCAGAAAAAAATAGGCTGGTTACGAATTAGTACATTATATTAGTTTAATAGTAACTAATTTTGCCATACCTATGTTCGGGAAGCAGAGCTTTTGTTTATAATTAACTAATTAATTGACCATTACTTATTTAAATCTAAAAGAAATTAAACTATTTTATGAATCTAAAAGCCGTACTATTATTTTATAAATAAAAATTGTTTTAAAGAATCTGTAACAATCATACCTGCGAACTTTTATGAACAAAATATTTTAAACTTTTTGCAGTGCTTAAACACATCATCACAAGATATCATTTATATATTATGCTAAATTTATTCATAGTAATTCAATTTATTTATAATTCAGCGGAAAAAGCACAAAATGAAAAAATACCATTTATTATTTTTCCATGTTAATTTTTTCTTATTAATATAAACTTTTTAAATAGTTCTAAGCACTATTTTATGGTTTAAAAAGAGCTTAAATGGTTTGAAAAAATAGATATAAATTTTAAAAAAAAAGCTGAAAATTCTGCTTACAAAAATTTCCTACTATAAAAATCTTACAATGTAAAAATGTCCCGGTCATTCACAAATGAATTAATAAAAACTTTTTTTTCCATCTAAATTCATAAATTTATTTTTCTCTGGGTTGAGGGCTTATAACTTTATGTGAAAGAATTATTTCAACTTTACGAATCTTAGAACACAAAATGAATATGCTCAGATTAGAACAGAAGTTCTTAAATAGTGTTTCCCGGAAACCTACGGTGCCCAGATTTAAGACTTTTTTTTTTTTAACCAATTATGATTTTAGAAACATGTAATTATTTAATAATTTTTAAATTTATTTTTTTAAATATATAAAGTGGTGGTAAATTTATGCTCCATTAATTCATATTTGATTTAATAAATTTTACTTACAGCAATTTTATTCACCACCAAATATAAACAAATTAGAACACCTGATTATAGTTCAGCAAATTTAAACATAATGTAAGATAAAAATAATTAGTAAGCATAATTTTCTATAAAATTGCCACTCTATATTTTGAAAAGAAATCTTTTATATTTTCAACACTTTTTTGATGTAAATAGGAACCGTACAAAAATCTCTAAAATTGAATGTCATAGCCTTAATCACGTGGAATTCATTTCTATTTTCTATTAAATTTTTTTTTAGGAGTTGTATATATGTTATCACATTGTTAGAGGTAAAATACAAAAATTAAATAAATACAAAATTTTTTTAATAAAACTAACGGTAGTTTAAGAAATTTTGATATTTTTTTTACTTGTCCAACCAATCTACCTCTCCCCTATTTTGTATTAGAACATATAAAGGTTGGACAAAATAATGGAAACACTTCTATACCGACACATTTTTTGAATTTTCTCAAAAACTACAGTGTTTAGGTTATGCGATTTCTCATACTTATCAATAACTTTAATGCTCCTAGAGGTTTGAGGGACCGATAACTAATTACAAACGGAAAATAGTGTTTTTGAAAATAATATAGCAATAAATTTGTAATTTGTAACAATTAGTTTGTTATTATATGCTATAATTTCACAAAATTTCGTAAATCTAGCTTAAATATTTATGGAGATATGGGAATTTTTTTTTATAAAAAAGTAATATTTTTGTCTTACGCCCAATTTTTTGTCTTCCGCTGTAACTTTAAAAATATTAAATAAAATTAAGCAAGATTTTTGGAGCTATTTAAAATCAATAACGAAATTATTGTTTTAAAATTTGAGGAAAATTCGATTAAAACCGGGAAAGATATGAATAATTAAAGTTGTTCTTTTATACTGAGCATGCGTAGGAAATATTTAAATATATTTTTTTTCTTTAATTTTGTAATGAATTGTATTTAGCAACAAATAAAAAAAAAAGTCCGATTTTATTATATTAAAAATAGTAAAAGTTTCAAGCAATTTTCTAAATAGTTTTCGTACTCTTCAAAAGAAAGCTCAAAATGATTTGAGTTTTCCACAAATTTAATTTTGTACTGTTAAGCAAGATTTATAAAAATTACACCGAATTTTGGGATCATTCCCCTTAAAAGTAGATTTTCCTTAGTATGTTTTCTTTCCTTATACAATCATTTTTCGGTGTATGGACGTTTATTGTAGGGTATTTGTTATTTAATTTTCTCTAATGATATAAAATATTATTTGTGGAAAACCCCTTATACTGAGTTTCTTTTAAAAAAAAGTTCAAAAACTGCTTAGAAAATAACTTAAAACTTTAAATTATTAAGATCTGCAAAACTGATTTTTTTTATTATATACCAAATACGATTCACTCCAAAATTATAAAGAAAAAATTGTTATTTTTTCATCGCATGCGCAGAATAAAATAACTACTTAAATTACATATCTATTGCACAGTTTCAAAAAAAAAATTTCAAATTTAAAAAAAAAAATTTTTAAATAATTTTAAATTGCTCTAAAAATTTTGCTTAGTTTAATTGAATATCCTTAAAGTTATAGCAGAAAATGTAAAAGAAAGTTTTATTTTTAATTAAACTGTTCATATCTTCATAAATATTCAAGTCAGGGTTACGAAATTTTGTTCATTTGTTGCATATAACCTAATAATTGTTACAAGATACAAATCTATTCATACCTATTTTGACATAGGATGTTCAAAAACTCTATGTTCCGTATGTAATTTATTACTGGTCTTTCAGACCTTTAAAAGATTTAAACTTCATTGATAAGTATGAGAAATTGCGTGATCTAAACTCTTCAGAAGTTCTAAAATGATTCTTTAAGTATTTCTTCAGAAATATGAAATAAAGAATCAGTATAAAGTGTTTACATTATTTTGTCTACCCCCTGTACTTTACTTAAGGTGACATAATACCTGGATTGTACACATTTATGTAGTATTGCTTGTTTCTGCTTAATTATTTACAAAGAGCTGTGAAGTTCTCTTTTTGAGTTTATTTATTGTTACAAATATTCTCTGCGTTTTTAAGTAGCTGAGTCAAATGAATTTGATTCGCCAAAATCTAGTAGAACATTTACTTTAAGTGTAAAATTTTAATATGTAATCATGTTTCAGTTTTCTTTTTTAAAAAAAGCTTTGATTTCATTTTATTTATACGGTATACAAAATTAAAATAACGAAATACAGTTTCATACTCTGTTATAAAATTTGAATAAAGTTGAATCCTTTAAATATGCTGCAGCCTTTATAAGGTGCCCAGTTTCTAAACTTAATTAAACAGTTATATGGTTATAATTAATAATCGGAAACATGGTTCAATGAAGCACCTTATTAAGATTGTGACGAATATGCTCCGTATTATGGTTCAGGATACCAATATTACGGTTTAACATTGAACCGTTTTAACAGTAACATAAAACCAATTTTCTGAGCGTATATATGTCACTGGCAAAGTAAGAAATAATTCAGCTTTTCACATACAATGCCTTCGCATTGAATACAATTCAAAATGACCAACCAGCAAATATGATTATTTCATACAATCAATTAGTATAATTATGATTTATTAGTATTTATTAGAATTATTAAAACCAAATAATCTTGATGCAAGAAGCAAGCTCCTCGCTTAATTTGCTTTCTTTAAAAAAAAAAAAATAAAAAAAAGCACAAAATAATAAATATTTTCTTTGATTAGAAAGTCAGAAACTCTTAGTAAACGCCATGCGTTATTAATAATAATCAATTTTCGCGGGATTATAACCCAGTAACGATGTAATTGCTTTTAAGCAAATAGCCTTTCATTAGAAAAAAGATTACGCTGTTATTATTTATTTAAGTTTAAGGGCTATTGCCTAGTATTCCTTACAGTTTGGGTTTTCCAAATCAGATATCATGAATAATATTCAAATAAGTTCGGTAAAGTAAAATTTGTGTTTTTTAAAAAATTTATTTATAACAACAATTTATTTATAACAACAATTATTTATTCAACAATTTCTTTTGTCGTCAATTCAGTTATATAAAAGAGTGGATAATAAAAAGAAGTGGAGACAATCATATTTTTCTTAAGCTCTTATGATAATGATTTTCATAAATCCTACTGTTTTAAAAATGCCAGGCAGTGTTTACCGTGCCGGCAGTTTTTACTTTGCCGGAAGCAGATATTCAGCACATTAAAAATAGTGCAGTACATTAAAGATAATTTTATAGCACATTAAAAATAATATTTATCATGTTAAAAATAATTTTTTGTTTCAAAATTAGATTCATAGAAGATAAAAATAAATAAATTTGTTTAATGAAATAATACTGTTTTTATTGAAAAATAACTTTATGTGTGGTGCAGGTCGTCAGTTTGATCATTTTGGTAATTTGAAACAGTGGTGGAATGCAGAAGCACTACAAAAATTTCAGTCAAAGGCCGACTGTATGATTAATCAATATGG